TTGGCTCAACTTTTGCGATGCGATGCGATGCGACAAGCGATTTGGTGTACGATTTTGACCTTTTCTACAGCAAAGTTGTACAAAGGTGCAAGAGTTGCCTTTAAATTTTTACAAGTTGTGTCAAACCGCGCGAATATCATGGTGACGTACCCAAATCAGCAAAACTTTGTCGCATCGCTGACTTCTTCTGTGAATGGTATTTCGCGAGTTCGCATCGCACGCATCCATCGCAGATCGCGTCGCATCGCGTGTCGCATCGCAAAAAAGCTTCTGTGAATCCCGCTTTAAGCGGGATTCACAGAAGCTTTTTTGCGATGCGACACGCGATGCGACGCGATCTGCGATGGATGCGTGCGATGCGAACTCGCGAAATACCATTCACAGAAGAAGTCAGCGATGTGACAAAGTTTTGCTGATTTAGGTACGTCACCATGATATTCGCGCGGTTTGACACAACTTGTAAAAATTTATAGGCAACTCTTGCACCTTTGTACAACTTTGCTGTAGAAAAGGTCAAAACGTACACCAAATCGCTTGTCGCATCGCATCGCATCGCAAAAGTTGAGCCAAGCTCAACTTCTGCGATGGCCTGCGATGGCCCAGTTGCGGCAGTTGCGTGGGGTGCGACATGGCTGCGATTTGGGGTTTTCCCGGTTTCGCGTCTGTCGCATCGCGTGTCGCATCGCAAAAAAGCTTCTGTGAATCCCGCTTTAATTAGGCTACTACTAGTATATCACAACGTCAGTATCGATCTGCTGAAGAAAGAAAAAGAAAAAAAGAAAAAAAAAGAAAAAAAGAGAAAAAAAACCTTGATGTTGTTGTGTACACTGTGTGCATGAGAGGGTAAAAAGTAAAAAAATAAAAATAAAATCCTCCCGCCCTCCCCGATTTTTCCAAAAAAAAGGACGATCATCTAGTAATTTTTTTTACTCGGCCTTACCATGCTTACGCCTGAAACCCACCAAGTCCCTGCCACCGAAACGTTACCACACGCAAACTAACTACACTTTACAGACTACAGACAGTATTGCACATGTTCAGGATACAAAAGGAACCGATTGATAAAAATGTGTGAATTGCATTGGTTGTCAGTGATCAGGCTGGAACCTTGAGTGTCCGGACAAGCTACATGTATAACGTGGTCCTGGTCACTCCATAAACACAACAAAGTGAATAAGTATCCCCGATGCCAAAGCATAATATGAGGATTTTGCGAGCATAACGCGAGCATCCATGAAAGCATAATTCCATGATTTGCACGTCCGCGTTACCACCGGCTACACGCGTTGAGAAACACAACCAGCTTAGGAAGTTTCGCATGTGCCAGGCCACCACCATGCCTGTGATTCCATGATTTCGCGAGCACAATCTGCCGGAACCTAATCCTGGGCCGTGGCTTCAAGTAGAGGCCGGTTTCAGCATTTTCTCTCTTTCCTGCTTTACTGTGTAGAGAAGTATCCAATGAAGAATTGAGATCTACATATGTACATGTACGCGGTACATGATTGACGTTTTACATATCAGGACCGGTGCAAGCATTTTTATGGCTTGGGTGCGAATTCGCAGCAGCAGTGTTCCATGCAGTCGACCTCCGGCTACCATGGCTACGCGGGTCCAGAAGGCGCCTGACAGGCCTGTCGACGAAGGATGGTGCTGGGGTAGGCATCGGCCATTGAGAACTGAATTTCGTCTGTTTTACGTGGAATTTCTTGGAACTTTCCAATGTATTGTACTTGAATAAAATTCTAGTTTACCTTTCATGGTATCTCACGGGGCAAAACAAATGTTTTACTCGTCCGGTCACCATGGTCACACCAAGGCATACAATGTAGGCTTTCACACTTTCTGAATGGTATCATACACTATGGCAGGCACACAACGGAGACTCCCCAAAGTTTTTATGCGTGCAAGGTGACCTGGTTTCTGAGACCACCTGCGGCGTTCACACTGAATACGGCAGGGGGGGGGGGGGGCTTAGTCTTGGTCACATGCCATGGGTAGGAGGGGCATTATGGGTACCACCGGCTGAAACCATTGTGAGTGTGACTTTTCACTTGCACTTGTCCTGTTCATGGCTTAGCTACAGTCCATTCAGAAAAAGATGGACTTCTAGCTTTTGGCCATAAATGGGTCAAACGTTGAGTTTTTTTAGAATTTTTTTCTGCAATCCTTTATGGAATCCTCTTCCAATTATGTTTCTAAAGTCTATTTCTCCAAAATGCAAGCCGTAACAAGAATAGTATTTCGGCCAGGTTTTGCCCCAAGAGCACTGAATCGGGAAAGACCATCAAAATCCAGGCCGTTTGATCCTGCCTGCAACTGTGCATTGTACGGTTCGAACCCCAGTTCAGGTACCCTTTTTGGACCCTTTTTCAAATTTCAAACTTCGCAGCACTGCACTGTGTACGATAAAATCTTGAAAATTCGCCAAATACGGGAGCTCGCCAGAGCCAGGGCCCATCTTTTTGTGAATGGACTGTAGCCTACTTAGGCTGTGTTAACATGAGAAATTTCAACCCGGGTCGAGTTCAGCCCGGGTTGAAAGTCTGTACGATAGACAAAAGAGGTGAGCGTTTACATGAAGACAGTTGACCCGGGTCAAATACTGATATGCCGCCAAAAGTCCACTTCTACAGTCCTGTATGGTCACGTGAATCCGTTCGCGCGAAATTTGCATCTGCAGTGCTGTTCAAACCTGGCGCGAGATACGCACAGAAGTACGTTTGTACGATTTTCTTGACCCGGGTTGAAATTTCAACCCCGGTCAAGCGCAATGCGTCATGTAAACGCGCCATTCACTTTGTGCACATGGCGGGTTGAAATCTGACCCGGGTTGAAACGCTTCATGTAAACACAGCCTAACATGTACGTGTACATTGTAAATCTGCTAGTACCCTTACAACTCATGCCACGGTATACAACTTAGTACAAAGTCATGTAGAGTCTACAAGTTTTTATAATACACAAAGCAGGCGCGTCGGAACGACTTTGGAAGTGGGGCGGCCATGGAAGGGGGGTCCGGGGGTCCTCCCGCGGGAACAAATTTCAAAAATTAAAGCCAATTGCACGCATTTCCGGGCATTTGGTGCCATTTCAGTGTACGGTAACTACAATGAAAGACTTTTTGATTCTGCAAAGATGCTACGATCGGGGACAAACATTACCCTCCCCCGGGAAAAAATTCAAAAATTGAAGCCAATTGCAAGCATTCCCAGGCATTTGGTGCCATTTCAGTGTACATGGACTTTTGATTCTGCAACAAACCACGATCGGGGACAAGGATTTGCCACGTTTGCGCTGAGATCATCGCGCTTTGTTGCAGTGTGCTAAAAAAAAAAAAAAAAAAAAACGGCCGAAAAAGTGGGGCGGCCATGGCCGCCCCGGCCGGTGCGGTTCCGACGCCCTTGCAAAGGCAGTAGGCTTAGGGCATGTTCGATTGGTAAGGAACGGGATCGGGATCCAGATCTCAGATCCGTCGGATCCTTCAGATTCAACTGAACACTTTATTTACGACCTTGACTGTTGCCATGTTGACAATGGCGCTCACAAGTCACCCAAAAGGGTGAACGTCGTACTCATCGCGTGCGTCGTACAAAAAGTCGACAAGCTCTATCTCCATCCACGTGTGCGTACCACAATGTGTACAAAAATGATTTTTACCCGCCATATACGCACAAAGGTCACATTTGGATCCGGTCAACCCTGCTCCCCGAGGTGGGTTGACCGGATCCAAATCCGAAGGATCCGGATCCGGATCCGGATTCGACCAATCGAAAGGGTGCGAATCCAGTGGATCCGGTGGATCGGGATCCCGATCCTACCAATCGAACATGCCCTTACGTTCTGCGAACGTGCTCAGTACCTGATTCAGGCAGAGCGGCCACGGTACACAAAGGCACACAATAAAAACCTTGGCAAATTCCGTTGTGACTCAGAGTTTCATGGCTGAACCAATCGGTTTTTATTGTGTGCCTTTACTAGACTTTAGCTTTATGTAATATTATTAGGGCTGAGGCGGGTAGCATTTTCTTCGGGTATCGGGTCCGGGTAGTTTTCCACGGGTAGCACGTGTACCCGATCGGGTAATGTTTCCATGGTAAGACCACAATGCACACCGGCCCCTTCACTTACATGTTACACACTGGGTAGACATGCGTGAGTTACATGTATTTGTACACGTGCACTGTAGACCTCTCTCTGTCTACTCTTTCTACATGATGTCATCTGCGACTTCGGGTTTTCGGGTACGATTCTGTACCCGACTACCCGAGGTCCTCATGGGTAGCACGGGTACTCGACTTCCCGTGCACACCACTAAATATTATTATATTAAAATTAATGTTAACCCTTTGCGGTGCATCAGTCCATATTGACTGATATCTTTTTTTTAAAGTTAATATAACTCGGATGGTGAGCCAATTAAATAATTTAATGTCTCAGTACTCCTTGTCAGTTTTGTGCCATTTTGTCGCACTCGCTGACTGTATAAGATCTGGTTACGTTGGTGGACAGTTACCGGTAGTCATAACTCGTAACATTTTGTCCTTCTTCTTTTCACAAAAGTTAATATACCGTGATGTATTTTTACACGAGTGAGCATGAGGAGTGGCACTTACTTGTACAGACTCAGCCATTTGCCTTGGCCAGTGCAGTATCGCTCTCTTACTCTTAGTCTTACTTGCATCACACTGCTGAATCTGTACTCTACGCTACAGATCCAGTACATGAGTGACCGTGTAGATCTACTACACACAGTGACACATCCACTCAACTCTACAGACTCCATGATCCACTGCACCACACACTAGCGTAGTGGCTTAGTGCTATGTCCACCTGGTCCGCCATGACCAGTCTGCGTCACGACTCAAGCAACTATGGACTGTCTGTATGTCATGTACTACTGCAGTACTACTAGCTGGCTAGCTGTGCTGCTTGAACTGGCCTGCTGCTTGCATGCTGCTGCCAGTGCACTGGGCAGTAGTCGGACTGCACTGACTGACTGTTCTTGCCAAGCCAAGGCGATGCCAGGACAGAATACAAAAATGCCAAGACACTCAGTGCGTAATGACAGTCACTGCTCCTCGAGGAGAAGTAAGCAACGGTTCTCTAGCTCTGGCTGAAGTGAAGGTTCAGTTGCTTTTCTGAAGTACTAACACCATCTAGCTTTTCTCCATAGCCTGTAACTAAAAGATGTCCGCTCCCTCCCGCGGTTTTTGATCTTGCTGTGAAGTCGTCGCTATTGTCTGAGCAACTCCGCAAACCTTTTGTTTTGGCGAAACCATGAGTGGCTCTTGCTCGTCCCCCGATTCTGGCGATCCAGATTGCGCAGGACAAAATGATGGTAGCGGTGGCCTAAACAGTTCGCTTACAGCTCTGCAGTGGTTACACGGAGGGCCAATCTCTAATCTCCCCACGAACATGGTGATGATGGAAGTGCAACCTGGTGTTGTTGCGCCTGTCGAGCCCTGTGTTTCTCCGCTGAGCGGCGGAGGAGCGAATCGCAGCGTTCGACGGAACACCTCGTCCCAGTTTGACCCGCTAGCCAAGCTGCCGACGACAGATGACGAAGAGCAAGCGTCTCGAGGTGACGGCAGGTCGAAACCGCCTTACAGCTACGCTCAGCTGATCGCCTTCTCCATCAACGGTTCCCAACACCAGCGCCTTACGCTTAGTGAGATCTATGCGTGGATTTCGGAGAAGTTCCCGTTCTATAAAGAGGGCCAGTCACATGCGTGGAAAGTAAGGTGTTTCGAATCTACTCGATTCCGTTAGCCAAGCATGCAAATTATTAGAATCTCTTTTGCCTTTCCCGTGCTGTGTCCTGTATTTCCGACGTGGTGGATTGTTATCAATAAGATATATTTACAGCTTGCGTTCGTTGTTTGATTGTACTTGTACTGTTGTAGCTGTGTGCCAGGAACAAACGCACTAGTGCAGAGTCACTGACAGTGATATGAGTGATTCGTAGACTACTGTCGTCATGTAGATCTACCGCCACCACTCCACTGGTTTTCACTGCTCGACAGCTGGTGTGCTGGACAGAGCTAGACGTAGCGAGCGGCTTTTCGTTTTCATTTGGAGCGATTGCAAATGCTGATAGCTAGTGTCGCGAGGCCTCGAGGGGAAACAGCAGTCTCTGGCCCGGACCAGTGCCGCGCTACTATCCGTGCTCGTACTCGTAGATTTACCTACCACGCTAAACGCTGACGTGACAATCGCCTTGCAATCTGTTGTTGATTCCGGACGCGATCGATCCCGTTGATTGTGTTGCCCTTTTCACGACACGAGGTTCTTCTTGACCCTGTCCTGAACGCGACTGAAGAAGTGTCACGGGCCCTCACCCGCCACGAGCCATGCTGGCATCTTCAGGAGAATCTTCTCTGCTCGTCCTACTGGTAGATTGCGCGCAAGGTGTAGCAAATAATTGAATTCGAATACTACAATACATGTGATTAGAAACTTACTGAGGATCCCACTGGACGCCAGCTGTCACGAATCCCCACAATGACTTGTATTCACACTCACATCCAAAGCGAAAAGATGTTTTGAATTTTCTCCTGTTTTCACCCTACTACTATCAGCTATATGTGTACTAGATAGCTTCTAGTCTTCCTTCCTCCGTTTTAATCATCCTGCATTCCGCATTTTCGACATTGTCGTGCTGCTTTCTTGCGCTCCCTACAGAACTCAATTCGCCACAATCTGTCCTTGTTCAAGTGCTTTGTGAAGCAACCACGACCAGCAGATGACCCTGGAAAGGTGAGCCACGTTGTTGGATGGATGAACACAGGCGGGTTCGTGCTATAACTTTGTCACAGCCATGTCCAGTTATCATACTCCATGATCCTCTTTCCTGTTCAGTTGATGTGTGATGCTAATAGCGTGCAACACCACGGCAAAGGATTCACTGTATGCTGCTTAGCTAGGAAGAGCTAGAGTAGAGGGCTGAGACTGAGAGGGGTACATGCAGTCATGCAGCTCCAATGACAACGTGGCTGATGGCGCGATACTACTACGGTACTAGTATAATGATAGTCTGACATCATCTGAAAAACTGTGAAGCAATAATCTTTCTTGAAAGCTGTTACGCCAATAATCTTTCTTGAAAGCTGTTACGCCTGCTCCATGAGGCATGCCGCTATGCAGTGTGCAGTGTGCATGCGCTCAACACCTACACGAAATACATGCAGTTACTGTGTGTGTGTGTGTGTGTGTGTGTGTGTGTGTGTGTGTGTGTGTGTGTGTGTGTGTGTGTGTGTGTGTGTGCCACTGTGTGCAGTAACTACTAACTAACTGCAGTAGTACTAGCACCAGTACTAGCACCAGTACTAGCACCAGTACTTGCACCAGTACTTGCACCAGTACTTGCACTGTCTTCTGGACTGTGATTCTCAGCCAGGCAATGCTGCTGATCCTCAAGGTCGGGGGGGGGGGGGGGGGTTATGCAAGTACATGTAACATGTCTCTCCGCAGTCAGCAACTATCTAATGTCGTAATGACAGCTGAAACTAACTTCCAGCTGAAATGGCCCAATGGTAGCCAGTGAGTTTCAGAGAATGACAGGGACTCCTGGAAGGTGTAGCACGGTTGCCATGGTTGCCTTACCTTGCCTTGCATGTACCCTAGTAGTCCAGGTGTCAGCAGTTTGGTGCACTGTGTGCTGTTGTGCTGTTGTGGGAGTTTCCACATGTCCACGACTGGACCACCAGCACCACCACCACTGCGGCCCACTGCACCTGGCACCAGGCCCAGCGTGTGACTCCCAGTGAGCGACCCATTCTCCCCAGCACCACACCATGACTGGTATCTGTGCGTGCTTGCGCGTATGTTGTGTGTTCATGTGTTGGCGTGCCCACAGTATGGCAACCACGCTAGGGCACAATCAGCAATAATCACGAGCTCTGTATTATGTTTTTCCGGGCCAGATTTAGGCCAGCTTAGCTGAGAGAAAGCGGGATTTTAATAATAAAAAAAGAGAATAGATATGGGTTGCGAGGTACCCAGTGAGTTGACTCTGACTGCTACATACCAGCTAAGATGACACATTGTGTTGAAATGCAGTCAAGTTATCTGTTCGGCTGGCACTCAGGCTATTGCCCATCGATAGCCTTGTGACCACAAGTTGCAATCGATTCGACACAACCCATGTAATGAGTGTTTTACAATTTTAGCTCAAGGTATACTGAAAGCAGATTTTCGGGCCTCGGCAGCTCATAAACTAAAAAAAACGAAAACGGGGAATGGTTATTATCAGTGCTGTTCCGTGGAGCTATGTATGTTGCGTCAACTCTAGTCCTTAACCTGGCTTTGCTGTGACTGCTTTCCTGATGTGATGGCTGTGTAGGGTTCCTACTGGACTGTTCAGCCGGACGAACTCTTCGACGGTCGATCCGGATACTCGCGAAGTCGCCACGCCAGTCGCCGTATTGAGCGTCAAATCAGCCGGGTTAGTCTGCTAGCACTGTAAAACCGGGAATTTTCGGTGGTGTAATATTTTCGGTATTTCCCAAAAATCAACGGCTCGGTAGCGCGAAAATTTCGGTTAACCAATCGTCCAGATCCAGAAATGTATTTTGCACACTGTGTGGCATGGCATGGTGGAATTTTAGGTCGCGTTTTATTTTAGGAAAAAATTACCTGTGCCAAAGTTACCGAAAATAAATCTCCGCCAAAATGTTCTGGTTTTGCGGTAGTGTACCGTGGTATTATTGTAAAGGAGCACCGGTAGGATCAAACCTTGGGTAGCTGTCAGAAAGAGTGTTAGTGTGGACCCGTTGCATAGCACAGTACTCGGTAAACTTCTCGTGTGATATCCAGTGGTGGATGTGATGAGATTGCACCTACCACTAACCCAGTTGGTGTTGTGCATATTTGGGCCGATTTGCAAGTACCGGTATTGTTAGAAACATGTATCCAGGGGTGTGCTCGGCCCCCCAACTAGGGGGTGCAACGGGGGTGCACGGGAGCCGAGGGGAGCCCCCCCCCCCTGGCAATTTTCTGCAATTTGTTTGCAACCTTTCTTGAATTTTAGAGCATATTTGCGTACATTACAATTGCAATTACCCAGATTGAAAATTTTTGGGGGGTGCACGTGCCCCCCGTGCCCATCGCCAAGCACGCGCCTGTGTATCATGTCCAACGCAACCCTGCAAGTAGTCGTTGATCATACTAGTACATGTACAATTGAGAGGACCTGGCTAATAGTACAGTTTTTGACGGCCTCCATCTTGCCACAAGCGGCTGTCAAAGAAAACTGTACACTTGAAGATGTACAGTGTTAGGCGTCTATTGATTTCGCTCTGAACTGCCAGCCACCTCTCTTGTGTAGCCAGGATGGTTGGCTGATGCACGGAGGCATGGGACTGCGACCTGAAACACGGGCATGCCGTTTACTTGCATTGCGGCTGACAACTGCAGAAAGCTAGCACGTTGGGAGATGTAGGTCGTACCCTGTACTAGTATCACGTTGCCACGTCACGTCCTAATATGACGTACTGGCATGTGCTTCAGACTCATTACGTGTGGGTGTGCTGTGCACGCATGCATGCACCCCCTGAGCAGATAGAGCTCTCAACCACGCGGTGTTCAGTGGTTGTAATTATTATTGCAATGGCATGAAGACAGTTTCGACTTTCTATTTCTCTTCCCGTTACTTTAATCCTATCATGCATTCAACTTTGTAAACCATATGAACTGAGTGGGTGATCGTTGTGTCGGGTGCACTCTGTGTGCGTGCTTGAGATTCCCCGACAACTTTGGTGCCGAAACCCGGGAAGTTCTGAAAGATGGCTTCGAAGTTGGATGGATTTATTCGCCCGTATCGGGGCAAACAGGACGACTTTGATGAGTTCTGGGCTAAGTTTCTGGTCTTAGCCAAGGCCAATAAGTGGGCCGATGACGCTGCCAAGGCTGAGCATCTTCCGTTGTTCCTGAGTGGACAAGCCTTTACGGTTGTCACTCAATTGTCTGACGAGGACAAAAAATCGCCGGCAAAAATTAAATCTGCGCTGGAGCAGGCATTTTGCCCCACGCCTGGTGCTGCCTACCGTTCATTTACGTCAAGGGCTTTGCGGAATGGAGAGCCTGTGGACGCGTACCTGGCAGATTTGAAGCGCCTACTTACGCTGTCTGGCCATAAGATTGCGGATAATTCAGATCCCGTGCTGATTGAGCAGTTCCTGAGTGGGTTGCCAGCTGATATTGGTCACCACGTTCGTATGGCGTCTGCTACGCAGAAGCTCACTGTCACTGATATGGCAAATCAAATCAGAGTCATGCAGGCATCCAAACTCCCAGAATCCCATGGTGCTGTTGCTGCTGCTAGCTCTCAGCCCAAGAAGTCGCTCGTGTGTTACCAGTGTAAGGCCGTGGGCCATGTGAGATCACAGTGCCCGAAGCGTAAGCCCAGTGTCACCTGTTATGCCTGTAAAGCGAAAGGGCATATTTCCAAGGACTGTCCGAACAAGAGTCGAGTTGGAAATGTCGCTGCTGGTCACGCGCCGCCTGAACGTACGGATATTTGCCTTGCTCTGGCAAAATCGGATGGAGACCTAGTTCGTGTAGCCGTGGACGTACAGGAACCCAGTACTGGGTCTAGTACGTGGACGCGTTTTGCCTCTGTGGTGGATTCTGGCTGTACTCGCACACTGGTGGAGTCGGCTGTTGTTGACCGATTGAACCTATCAGCTGCAGTTTCTCCCTGTCAGGACAAGCTGTTGTCTATCGACGGAACACCACTTACTATCCTTGGCAACGTCACGCTACGTGTGCAACGACTTGATGGAGCCGTCCATTTGCCTCGGATCACTATTGATTGTCTCGTTGTGCCCAACTTGTCGTCCTTGAACACGGACTTCCTGATTGGCACAGATACCATTGGCAAGGTCGGTGGCCTCACTCTACGTTACGACGGTCTAGGGGGCACGCTGTCCTCAGTTGTGTTTGGTCAGCAGGCAGGTGTCGCTGCCGGTGCATCTCCCCAACCCGAATCTGAGAAGCCTAACAAGCTTTCTCGTCACATCGATGTTACCGAGTCCGAGTCGACAGTCACCTTGAAGGCGAATGATTGCCTAGCTAACTGGTCGAATGAGCGTGGTCATTGGATTGCTCAGTGGTCGTGGAAGGGTGGCGTTGCACCCGAGCAGCACATTGGTTCCGGCATTGGAGAGTACTCGCGGAAGTCTCTAAGCGTCAGCGAGGAGGAGCAGTTTGCTTCAGAAATGAAGTTGTGGGTGGACAATGGATGGCTTGTCAAGTACGACTCCGAGGCATTCGGAGAGCCTGTCGCTGTCTTGCCGATACTTGCCGTTAGTCAGCAGCACAAGGCATCCACGCCGGTTCGGCCGTGCTTGGACTACCGTGCCCTGAATGCCTGTCTTGTGTCCCACCCCGGTGTCACCGCTCCAGCTTGTGACGCGAAACTTCGTGACTGGCGCAGACGTAGTGCCGACAGCGTTCTTCTCGACATCCGGAAAGCCTACCTGCAAGTTCGGATCCATCCCACCCTGTACAAGTACCAAACCGTTGTGTACAAAGGCGAGTTGTATACCATGACCCGCATGGGATTCGGTCTGAACGTCGCGCCAAAGATCTTGGACATGATTGTCCAATGGATTACCCGTGATCACGCCGACGTTGACAACTATGTGGACGACCTCTACGTCCCTACTGCCCAGACCGACATCGTCCGCCATGAACTCGCCAGCTATGGGCTTGAGACGAAAGAGCCAGAGCAGTTCGCAACTGCTCGTGTGTTGGGCCTACAGCTGTCCTCTTCTGATGTCGAAGATACAGTCACGTGGGAACGTCGTGCTGGTGTTGACCTCAAGTTGCCAGAGTCACCAACTCGTCGTCAAGTGTTCAGTTGGTGTGGCCGTGTGATTAGTCACTACCCGGTATGTTCCTGGTTACGCCCGCTGTGCAACTACATCAAGCGGCTTGTCGGCGAGAACACATCGAAATGGGATGACCTCGTACCGCCTCATCTCGTGCAACCATGTCGTGAGGTCGAGTCTCGTGTCCGTCAAGACGATCCTGTGCATGGTGTCTGGTCTGTGCCCTGTGATGACACCACAGTGTGGCACGTTTGGTGCGATGCTTCTGGCCTGGCCATGGGTGCGGTTCTGGAAGTCAACGGCGCTATCGTCGAAGACAAGTCCTGGCTCAGACCTTCCGATGATAAGCGTCATATCAACATAGCAGAGTTAGACGCCGTCATCAAGTCGCTCAACCTCGCTCTGTGTTGGCCAGTGAAGAACGTGGTCTTGCACACTGATTCGCGTACAGTCCATGGCTGGTTGACGCAGTTGCTGAACAACATTCGTCGTGTTAAAGTGAGTGGCCTTCACGCTACGTTGGTTCAGCGTCGTTTGCAGATCATCGACGATTTGATCACTGTATCTGGCATTACAGTTGACGTTGAATGGGTCCGCTCAGAGGACAATATTTCGGATCAGCTAACCCGTGTCCCTACCTGGTTCCGTGTGCCGGACAGTCCTAAGAAGCCACAGCCTGATGTTGCAGCAGCCGGTGTTACCGTTCGTGCTCTCCCACCTCTTGCTATGGGTGACATCGCCACTGCCCAAGTTGCCGACGAGGCGATCTCGTCCGTTAAGGCCCAGCTTCTCTCCGGTGAACCGATTCCCAACTCCAGCTACAGCAGAGTCCGAACCCAGCTGGTGATTGAGGATGATGTGCTGTTTCGCAGCGTGAAATCGCCTCTCAACGATGTTGAGCTTGTGCCTGCCCTTCCCCAGAGTCTTACTGCCGATGCACTTGCAGTCGCCCATACTGTGAGTGGTCACGCCGGTTGGGAAAGTATGTGGCGTCTACTCCGTAGCCAATGCTATTTCCCTGGTATGGCACAGCGCTGCCGTGACTACGTGTCAGAGTGCACTACCTGCCGTGCGGCAAATCCTGCTCAACCTTGTCTACCGCAACCAACGCGACCTGTAACTCCCGATGGTCCCTGGCGTGTTGTGCAAATTGACACGCTCGAGCTTGGTACCAACAAGTCTGGCCGATATCACTGCGTTCTTGTCTGCATTGACACCTTCACCAAGTGGGTGGAGGTCGTCCCACTTGTTCGCCATGATGCTGAGTCTGTCGCCGATGCATTTGTTAGTGTCTGCACTCGGTGGGGTCCTCCCCATGTTATCCGCTCCGACAACGGCACCGAGCTTCACAATGCCCTGATGTCATCCCTCTACAAGGTATTTGAGGTCAACGTGTGTTTTGGCGCAGTTCGCCACCCCCAATCGCAAGGTGCCGCAGAACGGTTCAACCAAACGCTGTTGACCTTGGTGCGGAAGGTCCTCGACGAGTCCAGTGATTGGCAGGTTGACCTAGCTATGCTCCTGTACTTCTACCGCAACAGGCCCCACAGTGTCACCGGTGTCTCACCTATGCAAGCAATGGTTGGCTGGCAGCCCCGCAGTCTCGTGGTGGATGCTACCCCAACAGATTGGTCGTTTCCCCGCTGGACGGAGGAAATACAGCGTCGCGCCTCAGCCATGTACGATCTCCTGGAATCAGAGTTGTCGTCCTGCGATTTTGTCGAGGAGCCAACTCAAGCGTTCTCGGCTGGAGAGTCTGTTCTCTTCCGCCGTCCACACCGGCACCAGAAACGACTCCCCGAATTCGAAGAAGGTTGGATCGTCAAGCGAGTCGTTGGTCCCTCAACTGTCGTGATTGGCCGTGGCACAGCAGAAAAACTCGTCAACACAGAGCTGCTGAAGCCTGCTGGAAGTCATTCCAGTCGTATCCCTGAGCCACTAGATGTAGCTAGTATTATCGATGACGAGCCGTTGGACCATGTGCCTTTGGCTGGTGTACCTGATGACACCGCTGGTGGTCGTCTTCTCCGCGACAGAGCCCTGCTCCGTGAGCCTAGTAGGTATGGCTCTTGAGACCACTATGTTCTCTGCTTTGTCCGAGTTTGGGTCTGACTCGTGACTCTAATTCGTGTTTTGGCCGTCTCTGACGATTGACGTTTAATAGTGTGTGTCATAAATTTGGTTCTTTTGTTTTGTTTTCTCAATTTATTGGCTCCTATTCTGCGATAATTGGTACTGTTTTTTATCTTCTTCTCCTCATTTTTAGTGACAATTGTCACTAGGGGGCATGTACTAGTATCACGTTGCCACGTCACGTCCTAATATGACGTACTGGCATGTGCTTCAGACTCATTACGTGTGGGTGTGCTGTGCACGCATGCATGCACCCCCTGAGCAGATAGAGCTCTCAACCACGCGGTGTTCAGTGGTTGTAATTATTATTGCAATGGCATGAAGACAGTTTCGACTTTCTATTTCTCTTCCCGTTACTTTAATCCTATCATGCATTCAACTTTGTAAACCATATGAACTGAGTGGGTGATCGTTGTGTCGGGTGCACTCTGTGTGCGTGCTTGAGATTCCCCGACAACCCCCACCCAACCCCACCTGGAGTATTCTTAGTTGATGAGAAAGACGGGTTATAAAAGTTCTTCAGCTTGTGCTGTCTCCAACTTTGAAGAGGCTAGTATTTCTCGATACAGTGTATCCCGGTTATATTTTCACATTCTAGTGTTGTACTCCAGCTGGATACTGTGTTGTACTCCAGCTGGAGTATACTGTGGACCACCGGGAGCTAGTACCAACCTAGCTCCCCGACTTGTTTTACTCAAAGCCCCACATTTAAGTGAAGCATTTGCAGGCACTAAAGAAAAGTGAAGAAAATCTTTGAAACGTTCCTATTTAGTGTGGACTCGGCCTGCGTCGATTTTCTTTTACCAGTCTGGTCGTTCTTTCTTTTACCAGTCTGGTCGTTCTTTGAAGCGTGATCTTACTGTAGGGAGTTGCCCGGCATTGGCATGAAACTTGGCCCGTGTCATATAGCCGGGCAGCATTCTGCATTGCTAATTTCTTGCCCAATACCACCATGCACACGCTGACATACTCGCATTTGGACGTGGCCGGCACAACTTTGCGGCGGCCTCTGTTCATAACGCATTGCGCCACCGCCCACCGCCCACCCCTTTACCAATAGTTACTTGCATCTGCCTTTTCCTTGAAGCACTAACCGAAGAATGCGAACGTCTTTGCTTGATGTGTTCCTCAACACGCCAGGTGATGCGGCTGCAAATGCGGTAATTTTTTTATATACATTTTTATTTTACTAACCTGAACCATGTGAGGTGACAAGCAGTATGTCTCAGACTCACTAACAGCATGGGTTGTGTGCGTTCCTACCCCCATCCCCCCCCCCCCCCTGCCCCCTTCTACATTCCCCCAGCATGCGTGTCAAAGTTGCAAACAGTAATGTCATTATAATGATTGGCTGTCACTGAGGTAATGCAGGAATGATATGATTAATAATGACAAGAGTACTTGAAGACTGGCGTGACGATTACGCATGGGGATGGATCTGCTATGGCGAAAACCATTGCTTTGGATGTGGCATGATGTGTGCAGCTCCACTTGAACACACTAGTAACTCTTATATGCTGCATCGCGACATGTAGTGCAATCCAGTGATTTTGTCATCATAGCAGCCACTCGCCCCAGTCACATACTAGTACGTGCTGCATCACTGCATGTGGTGCAAACCAGTGATTTTGTCATCGTAGCAGCCACTCGCCCCAGTCACATACTAGTACGTGCTGCATCACTGCATGTGGTGCAAACCAGTGATTTTGTCATCATAGCAGCCACTCCCCTGAGTCACATACTAGTACTAGTAGTACTCTGCCGCTTACATGCTACTGTAAGACATGTAAATATAACGAGGAAGTAAATCTAACGTTTGAACGGGTGACATTTCTTCGTTATAATAAGTTCTGTTGAGGTTGCAATGGCACATATGTGATATGTGCGGATAAGCCTGAAGACTGCAAGATCGGTATCCTATGTTCTCTTTAACCTATGGATTTTGGACAATCGTTAAATTTGCGACTCGTTATAATAACATGTCTAACAGCATTTCTTCTGGTGCTCATGCTTGTGTGCAGTCTCCGTCTCCGTACCCGCCGAGTCACGCTGGGAATTCTGGCTGGGTCGAAACGCCCAACATGGACATCCCGGGGATGTCGGGACAGGTGAGGGCCGGAGGTGCTGTCCTTACGGCGACATCAAATAATTAACGCTGAACGCCATTGGTCTATTGCGCTTGCAATGGTGCTGGACGCATTGCTTTCTTATCGGCTAGTACCCATGCAAATGCATTCAGCAGGGGTGAAGCAAGTGCTAAAATGTCGTGTTCGAATACTGAAGAAACAGTTTTCATCACAGCCTAGGAGCTGTGACGCTCGTTCATGATCCACAGCAAGAAGGCAGCAATGCCTGTACCTATGGTGAAGTAAAATATAGATAACATAACGCGAGCGAGCTTCGAACACATTGAGTATTTCCTTATTTCATACTACACAAGCCGGGGTGGTATGTCATGCTTGAAATACACATACTATACAAGCCGGGGTGGTATGTCATGCTTGAAAGCAGTCAGAAAGGCACTTATATGTAAAACTGGTTGGTAGTGCAACAACACTCGCCGTACAGTCTGTTTACAATCTTGAGGAGGTTTGCTACAGTTTTACTTTTTGCCACACGGTTTTATTGTCGCTCAGGTTCATCACTTTCGTAAACAGACGCTCTTTTTTTGGTCAACTAAGTTGAACTAACAGAGAGTGAAATGCTGATTCTGAAGTTGTGGTCACCATGTCCGTTCCTATTGATGTCATGGTTCATTGACAGTAGACTGAATACGGGGGAAAATTAATAACTATAGCTACATTTGTGGCCTTCAGACTTTTGGATCAGCAGTGAGCCGCACCTTTTATTTCTCAGAATATTTTCTGAAGACCGCTACTTGTCATCAATGTACAGAATTTCAAAGAGGTGACTACATATTGTTTAGTATGTACAAGAGAGAGAGAGAGAGGGGGGGGGGGGGGGAGCTGTGTTGCAACTCCGAGTGTCACGTAGTCGCGATCATCAGGTCGATTGTTATTAATTTTAGTATGATATGTTTACCAAAGCTGGTCCTTCCTTTTGTGTATTTCTGCTTGGCCCTGTAGTCTTTATCATCAGGACTGGGATTGGCACCAAGCCCCATTTCAAGGAGCCCCGTCGCAAGCCCATACCTGGCCAGCGGTGAAGCCTCGCCACTGAGAGCGCCACGTCAAGGTACGTCCATGTTTACATGTAGCTGATGGAAACCAGCTCACAATTCACTGTGATACTGGTCGGTTCTGATTCGGCGAGTAGTGAGCGTGTGGTGTAGGCCGCGGGCTGGATCTATCCAATCTCGTTGCTAGCCAGGTGCCACTATTTAATGCCTGCACGTATGTATGTTGGTACAAGCATGTGCTCGGTTGATTGCGTTTGCAACTGTTGGCTTGTTATCTAAACCTTCCCAGGCACTCAGTCATGCACCCCGTGCACACCGTCACACAAAAGATCACCGCCTTTTCAGATAAGGAACAAATTATGCATGGTTGAAAGGAGAGAGAAAAATGAGAGAGACGCGAGAGAGAACTGGCTGCGCCAAGAAGAGCGAATGCAAAACCGCTGTCCCTGGCAAAACGTGCGCGTACAAGTGCAGCACAAACGAGACCAGCGTACTACATGCAACAAATATGGGTAGCGGGACGCAACCTAAAACGATACCAGTCTCCCCAGAAAGGTGCGCTGCTGCGCACAGCCCGCGTATCCATGGAAAACATGGTGCAAAACAAATGCAGAAATGCAGAAGCAAAATAAATAAATAAATCAGAAATTCGAACGACAAACAGTAGTGAGCAGGACGAAGACAGAAAGATCAAAGATGAGGAAAGAAAAGTGTTTGATCTGTCAGTGGGTGCTTGCACCCGATACGGGGTGACAGTAAACCCTGTCAGATAGTGACACATCGTAGAGTTATTCTGCAGAGGGACTTCACTGAGCAAGAATATAACAAACCACGTAAGTAACTCCAGCAAATCGTGAATAATAATTGTAAATGCATACACAATGTTATCATAAGTATTCGAACACCATAGTTCCCTTTCACCCCTCCACCTGATAACATTGGATGGGGCATACATGTAATGACATACAGCAGGGAAGACAGATGCCTAGCGATAGCGAGCAGGGGGCTGCAGAGAACCACGGGGACGTAATGAATGACCACCAACCAGATGATCAGATGGGGGGGGAAATGTCCAAGCAAACCCAACCATCATCATCACCATCATCACGAGGACCATCAACGCGAACATCGCCAACATCAGGCGGGGGCACTAGAGGAGCACACGGCACATCAGGAACAACCAAACCAACATCACGCTTCAAGAGCTCGACATTGACCACCTTTTCCTGATGACGACCTGACTCAGGATGCACACGGCAAATCACAACACTGGCAGGACCAATAACATGTTTAACTGACCAACCAGAATCGAACGGGGGCTGACGTTTCTGGCGACGATCAGGGTTACGCAATAGAACACGATCACCAACAACATACGGACAAGAAGGCGACTCAACAACAGGCGCAGGGGCGTGCTCTGCAACAACCGCCGTCAAATAGTCGTGAACCCGAGCAGCCTTATCACACACACCATCAACCCAAAGAGAGGACGAAAGAGTAGATGGTATACCGTCCACAAATAGAGCACGAGGCTCCCAGCCAAACATAGCACGCATGGGAGAAATCTTCAATTCACTATGCGGACGAGTACGGTAGAAGAAGAGGAGAATCTCTAGCTCGGCTAGCCAATCGGCAGCAGTATCCAACACCTTGCGAATAAGAGTGAGAATAGTACGATTGAATCTCTCGGCGCCACCCTGTGACTGAGGGTGACGGACCGCACCAGTACGAACGCAAACACCAAACACATCCAACAAAGAAGACACAATAGCATTGCGGAACTCATGACCATTGTCGCAACGCACCACACGCGGCGGACCAAACTTCAAACAGAGACGCAGAAATTCCTCTGCAACAGAGCGACCATCATGACGCCGCAAGGGTACCACCTCGACCCAACGGGAAAACATATCGACAACCACTAACACACAATGGTACTGACCGGTCTGGTTGACACCGAGCTCCAGTGTATCGATCTGGACAATGTCCCACGGCTTGACAGGAACGTCATTCTGAACAGCAGGAGCTGGTGGACCACTGCGGGGATTGGCAGCCTGGCAGGCCTGACAATTACGCACATAGGCCTGGCATAGCGAAGACATACCTGGAAAGAAACAAGACTGACACAGAGAACGCCACATAGTTTCCCAATTGCCATGACCTGTATTGGCATGAGCAGCAGTAATCAAAGCGGGAACGGTGGATTGCGGTGCAACAGGAACCAGTACCTCACCGTCGACGGGGTCACGCCAAGTGCGACACAATAGACCATCAATAACACACAACTGCTTACGAAACTTGCAGAATGACGGATCAGAAACAGAGACGTCACGAGACAAATCGCGAATAACGCTCTGGATAGCATCATCAGTAGCTTGACCAGACTTCAACACGTCAAACTCCAATGGATGTGAAAGTGTAGAAGAGGGGGCAGAAGCAGCGACATCAGCAGAAGAACACAACTTCTTAGCATGAGCAACCCACGGCTGCGGAACACGAGTCAGTACATCAGCATGATTCTCAGAACTTGGCACCCATTCCACTGTGACCGAAATACCGGATGCCTCAATCAAATCTGTAAAGATCTGCAGACGACGTTGAACCAAGACATGTTGCAAACCACTAACTCGCACCCGTTCAGTATTGCGCAACACAGCCTGGAGCCAACCAAAGACAGTCTTAGAGTCTGTCTTGAGCACAACAGAAGAGACATTCCAATCAATAGCCAGCTCGAGGCCTTTCAAGGCAGCATTCAACTCAGCAAGATTGATATGACGCCGGTCGTCCTTTGGCCGGAGCCAAGAACGATCTTCCAGAACAGAACCATCACACTCCAAAACAACACCAATAGCAACATCAGAGGCATCGCAATGAACAACAAAACCAGAACCAGTAGAGGAAGAATGCCACGTACCATGAGCAGGATCCTCTCGCACACAACGATCGGACAGTTCCTGGAGGAACCGCTGTACTTCAGGAGAGACAGGCTTATCCCATGCGGACTGGCCAGACACGAGGCGCTTCAAGAAGCTGCAGGCCGGACGAAGCCAACAGCAGACGGGATAATGGCTGAGCGCCCGACCGCACCAACTGAAGAGTTCCCGCTTCGTAGTCGTGGGTGGAACAGACAGATCAACACCCTGCCGACGGGTCCACAAGACTTCACCCGTGGCGCTAGAATGGAGCTGCAAGCCCAGAACACGGGCATCAGGCAATGGCTCTGCAGGCTTGGTCTCAAAACCAAACGCAGCAAGCTGAGAGGACACTTCGGCAGCACGGTCACGCGGCACGTGGATATCATCCACGTAGTTGTCGGCATCGACCACGTCACGCAAGACCCACTTCACTATGATGTCTAGGAACTTGGGGGCAATGGATAGACCGAACGCCATCCGTTCCATCACGTAACGCTGGCCGTCGACGAGGACAACCTGGTATGGCAGCAATGATGGTGCGACATGGACCTGTAAGTAGGCCTTGCGAATGTCCAGGAGAACGTACTCAGATGCAGGTCCAGCCTGCCGCCACTTCCGTAATTTCTCACCACAGGCAGGTGCTTCTGAGCCAGGATGTGAGATGATGCAGGCATTCAGCCTGCGATAGTCCAAGCAAGGGCGAACTGGAGTGGACGACTTGTGCTCCTGGACTTGAGCAAGGAAAGGCAGCACACACTTGGGCTGGCCATGTTGGTCCACATCATACGGCTGCAGCCAGCCGTTGTCAATCCAAGTCCGGACCTCCTGCTGGAACAGGGTCTCCTGCTCATCAGTCAGTTTCGAGCGAGAGTACTCGCCTATGCCACAGCCAACGGGCGACTGAGGCTCGCTCCCACTTTGCCATTTCCAGGTCAGCTCCCATCTCTTACGAGCAGCGTCCCAGCACACTTGGCCATCATCCGTTGCTAGGGTGACATTACCCTCGTCATCTCTGGTAACTGTCACATGCCCATATGGATGGTCATGGGTCGACCTCTCGGGTGGAGCTGCAACTGGGTCAATGGTCTGCGGTTTCGTGCCAAACGTCACACCAGTGAGCACGCCATGATCATACTGGACGTCAACACCGCCCAGTGCGGAAATCAGTTCCAGGCCAATGACCAGATCTGAGCCAACGGCATGCAAATCAGGGACGATGAGAAACCGACTCGTAGTGCATGGCAGATAAACAGCATCATCGAGTCTGGACACCTGCAGCGAAACTTCACCCTGGATAGGCACACTGTTGCCGTCAATAGCCGAAATTGCCAGTTCGGACGGACGGACATCCACATTCAGGGCCTCCACCAGCTGCCGGCTCACCAGGTTGCGGCTGGCGCCGGTGTCCACGACTGCCTTAGGGCGAGCAGACTGTTCTCCCACAGCAATATCCACATGGAGACGCGGCAAAGAGCATGCATTCGCATCAGGCACACAGAGGCATGGATCAGGCGTGCGCTCAGGTGCTGCGGCCTGCACTTCAGACTCCTTTGCACGCCAGGACGTGTCAGACTGCTGGCGGGACTGGCGCCACTTCTTGTACTCCGGACAGTTTGGCTTCACGTGACCTGTCTCATCGCAGAAGAAACAGGTCAAAGCTGGCCGCCCACCACCATTGCCATGACTTCTGCTGCTGCCAGAACTCCGGTTTGCGGGACAATTGCGCGAAATATGTCCAGCCTGATTACAACGAAAACATAAAACATTCCGGCTGCGTTGGGAGCCAGCAGCCGCAGCGCCAACCGGCTCTTTCGGACGAGATGTACCCTCCGCGCTCCGCAAGCGACGGACATACTCAATACAGTCAGATACAGACTCCATGGAACAATTTATTCGCAACTGGCGTTGAAACTCCCAGGGCAAACCAGCAACGAACTGCTCGATGACTACACGGTCTTTGCCGTCACTCGCGACTTTCTGGCCAGCACCAACTAGCAGTTTCTTCAAGTCTGCAGCGTACCCCTCGACGCTCTCATCGGTCCGCAACGTGCGGGCACGAAATTTCTGGAAAGACGCAGCAGGCGTCGTACTGAATGCACTTTTCAAAGTTGCTTTCACCGCATCCGGGTCAGCTTTGTCGGTTGACGAAAGCTCGTCCCACACCAGGTAGGCCTCGTTCTCCAGAAACAACGGTAAATTGTTCATCTTGTCTGTGCTCGAACTCCACTGCTGGAGGTTCGCTAATACTAAAAACTTAGACCAGAAGGCCTCGAAATCATCGCCACTACCACGATAGGGTTTCACAAACGCCTCGATACGCCTGGACATTCTCACAGGGTTTCGGGACCACTTTGTTATCTAAACCTTCCCAGGCACTCAGTCATGCACCCCGTGCACACCGTCACACAAAAGATCACCGCCTTTTCAGATAAGGAACAAATTATGCATGGTTGAAAGGAGAGAGAAAAATGAGAGAGACGCGAGAGAGAACTGGCTGCGCCAAGAAGAGCGAATGCAAAACCGCTGTCCCTGGCAAAACGTGCGCGTACAAGTGCAGCACAAACGAGACCAGCGTACTACATGCAACAAATATGGGTAGCGGGACGCAACCTAAAACGATACCAGTCTCCCCAGAAAGGTGCGCTGCTGCGCACAGCCCGCGTATCCATGGAAAACATGGTGCAAAACAAATGCAGAAATGCAGAAGCAAAATAAATAAATAAATCAGAAATTCGAACGACAAACAGTAGTGAGCAGGACGAAGACAGAAAGATCAAAGATGAGGAAAGAAAAGTGTTTGATCTGTCAGTGGGTGCTTGCACCCGATACGGGGTGACAGTAAACCCTGTCAGATAGTGACACATCGTAGAGTTATTCTGCAGAGGGACTTCACTGAGCAAGAATATAACAAACCACGTAAGTAACTCCAGCAAATCGTGAATAATAATTGTAAATGCATACACAATGTTATCATAAGTATTCGAACACCATAGTTCCCTTTCAGGCTGACAAGAGCTGAGTGCTCGCAGGTTATAGAGGACGCTGGGCTGCCTCAGGTATACGTATCAAAGTAGAACTCGCAGCAAACACGTTCGCCCTGTTTCACTCTTGAACTCTCTCTGCTTTTCGGCTCTTTCTCTTTTGCTCCAGATGGTGTAGCGTTCAATGACCCGGCTGACTTCACCAGTATTCAGGGGAGAGCATTCTTTCCGCCGCAGTCACCGGTCTTTGAAAACACAAATCCTACAGAGCTGCAGCGAGAGCAGCAGTTTGCTGCTCCTTCGCATCACCTCTCCATTCCTACACCCATGCAGCTGTCGAGGGACAGGTCTGGCAGCGACCCAGGTGGCTTGCACACAAACTCCATGTCAGGCAACGCACAGGCAGACAAGCGCCACACTATCGGCAACCCAGAGGCATTCCGGCAGGTAGGTGCTGTTCCAATTGATCTTCCTGGCCTAAATATGGTACCGCAACGCGTCTGTGTTGGTCAGGGCAGGAGATGAAAGATACGTGTACATGGCATGTACATACTGCTTCAATGAGCTTGTGAGCTGTGCTGATCTCCACTCCCTTGTTGTACATGCCTCTCCATATGGAATCAGGCACCCAGTCCTAAATCGGACTCCTGAGGATGGAACATTTCTAAAAAAAATTGCCATTTAATATTGAGAATGTAATACGCAGGTGGCATCATGGTTGGAAAGCCAGTTTGGTTGAAACCCTTATGAATTCGGCGAGCCGCATAACTTGGAATATGGTGGTTGATGGAATACCGGTAGCATTGTATATAGAACAACAAGTAGTTTCCAGCTTTGACCGTGCTGCGTGCAAGAGGATCTGATTAGGGCTGGCATTAGCGACCGGTCCAGAGTGCGCACAGAAAATAGTCTTCATGCTCACCCTGGCCGGTTTCGAAAGACAGGTGGTTTCTAAGGGGAGTGGTTGTCGTGGCAGGTGTTACCATGGTTACTGTATGATAGTCTCTCATGGCCTCATTGCACATATATGGTGGAACCTCCCTTGGTGGACACCACCCAACCAAGTACACGTCCACATCCAGCACACATCTGGTCCAGTCCCAGCTATTCGTGATCAAGTAGTTGTTATGCATCCAGCCGGTTAGTCAAGCCCCCTCCGCATGCATGCAGGGCAAGCTTGCCTGTTCGCTACTAGGGTGTCTATGATTGAGAGGTCGTCCTGTGATTGTCATGCTTGCGTGTGCTCAGGTGCTCGGTGCTCACCGCCAGTCCTATGCAATGCATGGCATGTTCGGCAACGGCGACACTCGGGGAGCTGCAGCCGCCATACCCAGTCTGAACCTAGACGAGCCCTATCCCACGGCGCCGTGGAACGGCTCGCAGGAGATGAGGACGGAAGGGTTCTCGATGGACAGCTTGGGCACGTCGCCCCGCTCGATACAGCGCAGCAGCTCTGCCTGCTCTTGGAACGCAGATATGGACAACCTACGTCTGAACACGCCGCTGACGACAAGCGGCGGTAGTCGGACTAGCCTCAACCAGCAGCAGCAGGCTATGGTGATCGGGTCTGGAGTGCCAGCGTCAGCGTCCAACAACGGGCAATCCGAAGAAGTGGGGACGCTGTCCATTCCTACTATTCCTGGCTTGACTTCGGCCAGTGTGAATAGCATTCTGAACCGGGCCGTCGAAGAAGCATACAAGAAAGGGGATCTGGAAGGGCGCTCCATCAAGTCGGCCGATCAGCTAGCTCAGGAAATGATGAGCGACGAGGGTGACTCACAGTTGTTTGGTACCTGGCAATCAGGCAGTGCAATGCTAGTGGATGCGTGCTCTACGGCATACCAGCAGCTAGCCCACGCTAACGGTCTGCCGGACTTCATGACGACGCCAGCGTATCCGCCGCAGCACCTGTCTCCCACGGGCTTGCCTCTGCAGAACCGCAACGGCCTGACCGTAGCGCAACAGCACGCTCGTTCTCACTCCACGTCGCCGCATACCGGCCCGATCGAAGTGTTTGTACGGCCCCCGTCACCGGCCATTGGTGACCAGGGGCCGGCGACTGGACTTGTAGTGGCACAGCGAATCTAGTGGGCCACCAGTGACCACTCGTGCACTGTTGCCAAGATATATTCGTAATGTTAGATTATGTTTGCTTGACCCCGTTTGGTTTACGTTGATTGTGCCTTCCTAGAGCCCAGTGTTCCCCGATGGGATTATGGGCTGTACTGCATGACTCCAAGTTGGCAACAATCAGAATAATGACTCCTGTTGAGCAACGCTTTCCTCAATTGATTTCCCGCACCATCATAGCTTATCCAAAGAGCCCACCGACATGGCATTGCCCGGACTCATTCAGGCAGGCTGTGCTGTGCCTGCGTGAAGTGGGCCTCCATGCGTTGAGTCCTGCTACTTTCTCACTAGATGTTGGCACGTTCTCAGTGTTCCCGGCATTCCAGCTTCGCTAGATGCGAACAATTTTGCGCGGTACGGATGGGAACCTACATGTTCCTCCAGTATACATGTAGGGGAGCCTTGACTTCACCGGCCTGCTAAGTGACTCCAGTCTTTACTGTTTAGTCTGCCTTGTACATGTACTTGCATGGCTGCATGCTGTGCCCGGGTGGGCTGGTCATTCAATCTTTGTACTCAGCCGTACGCCCCGTTGACGGTCATTTCTTTGAAAAAGTTTCAGCCTATCCACAATGTTGCTATCCGTTTCGCTTTCTTTCCAGTTTGGCGCCTATGCCAGCACGTGCGGCATGCACCGCTCTGCCCTGGACTGGAGTCCCCAGTGGTCAAATGTCCACTATCACCTCCAACAGTTGAATTTTTCTTGACTAATTGCATGAGCTTCTGTGTACATCCAGCCTGGATGATGTATGCAGCTCACGATAGCGAATCCCATAATTCTCCTATCTCAGTTCTGTTGTTCTCCCGTGTTGAGTGCATATTAATTTTGCGACCTGGATCCAGCCTGCTGTGTGTGTGTGTGTGCGCGTGCGCGCGCGCATGTCCGTTTGGCAGCCTAGGGGTAAGTGGCTTGATGGACATGTATGGCTGTGTGTAGCATGCAGGGAGTCGTAAAAGTATTTTTACGATTCCCTGATCCCTGGCCTGGTGTGTAGTCACCACATGTCACATGCCCAGTCACGTACACATGGTACACACACGCATGTCAAGAACATCCCTGTTACCACCAGTAATATCGGTACAGTCATGTAGTGTTCAGAACTGACTCAGTGAGGACCATGTGCATGTACAGTCTATTTACTTTTTGACGTTTGGCGAATAGTAGCACCCCAGACCCCCCCCCCCCCCCCCCCCCCAGGCCCTAGCCCTGGTGCAAATGATTATGTAGCTGTGCGTACATGCATGCCTGCATACCTCTTTCGCTACCAAGTGGTCATTGGCAATCATTCCCAATTAGTATACATGTAGCAGGTTGGTGATGATGGTGGTCCTAGTATTACTACTAGGGATCTTGCTACCCAGCTAAAGTACCAGTGCATGTGCGGGCACAGGTGCTTCTTATCAATTACATAACTGTGGTCATTAGGAAGACTTGGTCTAGTACTCATGTACATGATTGTGTACGTGCAATGAAAGAGTACAGATAATGGTTTTAATATAAATAATTATTAGTATGTATCACTACCAAGTCATTGTAGTGATGGACTGCAGTCAGTGGAAAAGTACGTACTTCACTCGTCAGCCAAGTAGTACTAGTAGTGCTAGTTCAGGGGTTCATGCTATTCAGGTCTTTGAAACTACTCACAGTAACGCATTACTTTGCGCAGTGGATATCATGGAGCATTGGATCATGGAGGCGACTGCGCACACATGCACATGGCATTTGTAGTGTCCAGTTTCCCCAGATGTCCCCATTCCGCTCCCCCTCCTGCTCTGTTGATCGCTAGCTGCATGCTTGACATGTGTCGCGAACGCGATCGTAATTTCCATAATTATCACTTAGACATAAATTTGTAGTGCTACAGTCCATTCATAAAAAAATGGGTCCTGGCTCTGGCGAGCTCCCGTATTTGGCGATTTTTCGTGATTTCATCGTACACAGTGCAGTGCTGCGAACTTTGAAATTTGAAAAAGGGTCCAAAAAGGGTGCCTGAACTGGGGTTCGAACCGCAGAATGCACTGTTGCAGGCGGGGTCAAACGGCCTGGATTTTGATGGTTTTTCCCAATTCAGTGCTTTTGGGGCAAAACCTGGCCGAAATCCTATTCTTGCTATGGCTTGCTTTTTGGACAAAAAAACTTCAGAAACATAATTGGAAGAGGATTCCATATGGGATTGCAGAAAAAAATTCTAAAAAAACTCAACGTTTGACCCATTTATGGCCAAAAGCTAGAAGTTCATTTTTTTCTGAATGGACTGTAGAGCCTACTTTTTCTGACCTTGCCGCGCTCCTTCCATATTCTGAATGGCTATAGGCATGCGCAGTATGGTACGCGCGCATATTAGGCATGCGCGATCTTGGCCCGTATAAATTAGGCATGCGCGTTCCTAATCAGTCTCTCCTTTTTATGATCACCAAGATTGACCTCGTGTTCTTATGGCTCTTGTGTGAATCCAAGTTTGCAGGCAGCTCGCCTTTTAGAGCAAGATGTCATGAGTGGATTGTTTGTAGTGCAACTGGCGCATGGCATGAGTATTGTTAGATCAGGGTCACAGGGTAGTCGCACGGCGACATTTTTGGTGCCGAAACCAATACTGATGCCGGATATGGTGTGAGACCGAGAGCAGATATGGCAGAACCAGACTCCATCAACGCCCAGGCGAAGACGAAACGGAAGGTGCTGCAGGCCCACGTGAAGTTCTTGAAGCAGCGCTCCGCTGAGGCCAACACATTGCTGTCTGGCACTCCAACTCCGGACGAGATAAGTAGTCTGATTACTGTATTTGCTTCTACGATAAAGAAAGGCGAGGAATTGTTCGACCTGTTTGCTAATGTGGTATACGACTTTGAGGCTACAAAAAAGGGTGATAAAGAGAAAAAGAAACACGATGAGCAGTATGTCGATGTGGTTGTGGAATTAATTACGGAATGCAATGATCTATTGGCACAGTTACGAGGGAAGTCAGTCCAGTCTAAAACAGCATCACCAGTGGAGATCATAGATCTGACGAAGGTCATGGAAGCCAATACGAAAACACAGGCAGAAACAGCGAAGCTATTAAACCAGTTTGTCTCAGAACAAGGTGCCGCCAATGGCACTCCAGTCACAGTATCAAGTTCAACGAAGCTTCCTGTCCTAAAAATACCTGTGTTCAATGGCAATGTGTTGCAGTACCCAGAATTCATTGACATGTTTGAATCCACTATTCACAATAATACCAAGCTGTCCAATGTGGAGAAATTAGTGTACTTGAGAAATCACCTGAGCGATGCAGCACTAGATACCATAACGGGCATTACCTTAACGGGCAAGAATTATGCAGCAGCATTAGGGCTCCTAAAAGAGCGATTTGGAAAGCCACAAGTAATTGCCAACATGACGTATCACAAGCTTGTTGCCATTAAGCCACCAGTGAACACACCAGTAGCGTTGCGGAAGTTCCAAAATGAAGCAGAGGCGCACTTGCGGTGTCTGAAATCAGCTGGTTCAGACATCCAGCAAGAGATAATCGTACCGCTACTGATGTCAAAACTGCCAAAAGCGATAATCATTGATATGGAGAAAAGAAAAACCGGTGATAATTGGTCTGTGGGCAAACTACTTACGGTCTTGGGTGCATTAATTGATATCCTTGAAGCAAGTGATCACATGGCATCTGTACACTTCACACCTTCTAATGGGCGGGTACACAGGGAAACAAACCAAGAGGGTATGGCCACCAGTTCCTTACTAATGAATCAGACCACGCAAAAAGGCCCGAAATGTTGGTATTGTGGAGGGTCACACTACACGGATGAATGCCCAGCATATCCAACGTATGAGAAACGGAAAGAGAAAATCACAAATGAATGTTTCGTATGTCTGAGGAAAGGACACAGTGCAGCAGATTGCAGAGCTGGTGCACGTACATGCTACCATTGTGGGAAACGCGGGCATCACCGGTCATTATGCATGAAGAAATTTGATCCACAATCCAGGCTAGATCCAAAGGCACGAGAATTCAAAAGTGCAAAGCCAACCAATGTTCAATCTTGCAATGCAGAGCTAGTGCCGCCTGTGGCTGACGTACATGCAACAAATGAAGTTTACTCCCAGAGCAATGTGGTACTAATGCAAACAGCAATGGCAGAAATCCAGAATGGTGACCACACTTGCAACGCACGCATCTTGTTCGACACCGGGTCGTCCCGTTCATTTGTGCACAGAAATGTCACTACCTCACTACACAGTAAACCAGTTGGTCAAGATGTTTTGGCTGTAGCCGGGTTTGGTTCCAAGACCAGAACTACTCGCACTTACCCTAGGGTAGAGTTACAAGTCAAATTACGTGATGGCTCCTTCCAACCGATATCTGCAAATATCACTGACCACATCTCTTGTCCAATGAATATGGCTCCGTTAGATTTGTCGAAACATCCAGCCATCGCAAAATTGCCACTAGCTGAGCCCCTTGGCACCGAAAGCACCCAGGCTCCGATTGACATACTAATTGGGAGCGACCAGTACTTTGAATTTGTGGGTCTGGAGCATTTGAAATTGGGAAATGGGATTGTAATGCTTGACACGAAACTGGGTTTCATCCCGACGGGTAAAGCAGACCAACATGATTCAATGCCAGATATCCATGCTATGTGCACGTCTGTTGAAAGCGAAGTACAACATCCAGATTTCGACCTACAGAAATTCTGGAAGCTAGAGCAGATTGGCATAGATGAAGATAATGGAGTCACAGATGACACCCTAGCGTACGACAACTTCAATGCAAATGTTGAGTTCATTAATGGTCGTTATGTAGTGTCATGGCCATGGAAATTAGACCCAGAAACTTGCCTACCAGAGAACTTTGATTTGGCCAAAGGTAGATTGAAATCTCTCATGCACAGAATGGAAAAAACACCAGAAGTACTCACGAAGTATCACGAAACGATACTGGGACAAATGGAAATGGGTGTAATTGAAGAAGTCAACGACTCTAGCAGCGAACTACGCAGTGACAACAACAATGGCAGTCACACTGACAACAACACAGAGAGCAGCGTACATCACTACATACCACACCACTGTGTAGTCAAGCCGAGCAGCACGACGACGAAGATACGCGTAGTGTACGACGCATCTGCCAAGACGAAGGAAGGCAACAAGTCACTTAACGAGTGCATCCACAGAGGCCCAGTGCTGCTGCCAGACCTTTGCGGCATCCTCCTTCGCTTTCGTTTGAATCCCATAGCAATGAGCAGCGACATCGAGAAGGCATTCTTGCAAGTCGGCTTACATGTCCGTGACCGCAATGTCACACGCTTTCTTTGGGTTCGAGACCCCAACAAGCCTCCCAGAGGAGACAACATCGTCATCTACAGATTCTGCCGCATCCCCTTTGGCGTAATCGCAAGTCCATTCTTGCTTGGTGCCACCATACGACACCACATCAATTCTTCAGAGAACACGCAATCGCAGGCTGTAGAGAATAACACTTACGTCGACAATGTCCTCGGCGGAGCGGAAAGCGTAGAAGACGCAGTAGAGTACTATCGAGAAGTCAAGGGCATCTTCGCTGATGCATCAATGAATCTACGGGAGTGGGCGACAAACTCCGAGTCCCTCAAGCAGCAGATCCCCGAGAGCGATCGCGCAATCGCTCAACTCGTCAAGGTCCTTGGTATGGAGTGGGACACAAACTTGGATGAGCTAGGGCTCACTCCAAACCCAGCTGAACTAAAAAACGTTCAGACGAAGCGGCACATGCTGAGCGTATTATCATCGTTCTACGATCCACTGGGAATCTATTCGCCAATCGTATTCCGCGCGAAGGCTCTACTTCAGGAGATCTGGAAACTGAA